GGATTTAAAAATAGTTATGCAAAACGGAGCGTGCCCGCTCCGACCGGCTTTAAAGGGTTAATATATATTGTTTTTTAGTTTGTAATACTTATTGCATGTTAACCTTGTATATGATTAACTTTTGCCATCTAGGACCTCCATATTCTGGATCTGCATGTATTTGACATTTAACTGGTACAATTTTTAAAGTTACTGAGCACAGCACATTCACGGCACAGTCCACATGTTTCTGCTAATACAAAGTTATGATACTGCAATCTTAATTAACATGGATGTAATGTTGTATTTAATTTGTTGTTGAGAATTTTAACAAGAAGATCAATAAAGTCATTAACAGTAACTTGTTGTCTTATTTACTTCTTTTATAGTTTTGATGAAATAGTAGTAAAATTTTAAATGCTAAACATCATATTGTTCTCTGGACGTATGATAGACACACAGGCTTGTTTTTATTTCAGCTGCAGCTGTAATAACAAGAATGATGGATGAATCTTTGAAAAGACACATTTCTGTTGGATTTTGTAAAAATAAGGCCTACAAATAAAGCTCCATTCCCCTATATCTGTAACAGGGTTGCTTTTTTTCTCTCATGATGAATCAAGCTACTTTAGCCACTCTGCATTCCTCTAATCTGATTTTCAAGCCTGTACATTATGTGTACATAGTGACTCAATGTGCTCTAATCACCACTTATATATTACAGAGCTGGAGCTTTTAGTCAGCAGGCGAGCTCGCACAAGTTGATCCTCCTGGGATGTTGCAATGGTAGACTGAAAAAAAAGCTAGGATACTAGATATAAAAATGCTTTGCTAACTTTATGGAGCAAGTCAAAGCTTTAAAATGCCTTGCCTTTTTATGCTTTGGAGAAAAAAGTTATTTGCAAACATATTCAACTTAAAATGCAACAGCTATGCAGATTTGAAGCTGCTAGCATATACAGGTCTGCTTACAGCAACATTTTATGATAAACTGTATCTTGGAGACAAATGCAAACACATTCCTACATGTCAGACCACAGGGGTTGGAAGCACACACAGGACATTGGGTAGACTAAAGCAATTGTCAGTCTTAAATGAACCATATCCAACAAATGTTGCACCAAATCATGTTTTCACTTGAAATGTGTTGTATTTATTTAAATTTGTTAGATGACAGTCAAACATCAAAACAGGATCTGCACACAGTGTTAAAGTGTAGCAGACTGATGAGTGTGTGTTTCTCTCACAAAATGCAGACACTCACTCTGTCACAGCCCAAAACACAGAAAGGCACAGGTCTAGATTCAAACTCAGGACCTTGGTGCTATTAGCGGAATAGCAATAAGTTTATTTAACCTAATTCCTTGGAGTCAAAAATAACTGACTCTCTAACTCTGTCATATCTATTGTTATAGTAAGGAAGTTTTTTTTTTCTTTTTTTTTTCTTGTTACTTTTTTCATACACAAGCTCATTATAAGCATATATTACTTTCTAATTGTTTGTGATGGTTTTTGACAATAAAATATGGAGATGCAACAGCTCCCCAAAAATGAAGCCAAAACGTCTCTATCGCCCCCTGGTGTCTGGCTGCAGGATAGGTCATAAACGGGGCTTTATGAGGCTTTCTTTCATTATCAGCAGGCACGTGCCCCAAGTTCCCTTTTCTTGAGGCAATTTACTCAAGAGTATGTGCGTGTGGAGTCCTGCCTGTGCCTCCCTTGCTAAATAAAAGAATCTAGCTTGCATCAGGTTACGAGCTAGGAACAAGCTCACAAAGAGCACGCACATTTTTTGCTGTTTTGTGTGGTAACCCACTGCGTCTGTTCAAAGATGGTCGTTCACAGTGGGCATAGATGGCTTCTTTCACTCCTCTTTCAAACTATCTGTCTTCTGTCCAAAATGTGAACATTGGTGTCATCAAAGGAGTGACCTTGGTCCTTTAGATGCAGATGGACCGCCGAGTCTTGTCCCGTCGAGGTGGCTCTTCTATGCTGTGCCATGCGTTTAGGAAGTGGCTGTTCGGTCTCTTCAATGTAGAGGTCTGAGTATTCCTCGCTATACTGTACAGCATATACTATGTTATTAAGTTTGTGTTTAGGAATTCTGTCTTTGGGATGAAACACAGAACTCCTATAATATTTAAAGCTTTACTTTCTGTATTTTGAAAATACACACCACGCTTATATGATTAAAGTTTTTAAGTTTTAAGGCGTTTACCGAGTTTTTCACTAATAAATAATTTAGGTGACCTAGAAGAACTTGGTGGATGTAAGGTCAATTTTAATGGACTGTTAACATAAACCCATTCTATCAGATTTCACTGAAAACCTTTTGAGCTATTACGTTTACAGATAGAATGATCACATGTATGCACGCACAACTATAGACGTACACATGCAAACACAACCACTTTGGATGCGGTAATGTTGCTCCAGCGTTGAAATTTTAAAATTTTAAGTATTTCAGTGAGTCTTCTTCAAAGAGTTAGCAGCCAGGAATGCTGCAAAAATCTGAAAGTAATCAAATTTGTAACTGGAACAAGCAAAGAATAACACATTCCTGAACTTTCACTCCAAATGCAGGATAACTTGTATTTCTTTATAAACTAAAGAACTACTGGTGTGAAACTTTTCCCATTAATACAGTCAGATCCAGTATACTAATAAAAAGATCACATGTGGACACATAGGTCATCAAGGAGAAGAGCCCATTTTTCACACAGGATTGTTTTTCGGTAAGAAAAAACTGAATAAAAAGGAGGACGTACAAAACGAATGGTAGTCACTCATTTTTCTGCTAGTTCAGCTCACACGGCCCAATTTTTTCTCTCTCTCTCATTTGTTGTCCCTTGAGTCCAATAAAGGTGTCATTGTTGAAAAGGCACAACGGTCACAGACACAGACATAAACACATGCACACACACTACTTGCTTTTATGAGCTTGCTGAACAACGCTGTAGTGTTTACACCGTCGTGCTACTTTGCTGCGGTTGTGAATTCCAGTGAGTCATATCAAGCCAGGCATTATACTAACACGGAATCACTCCAACTTTATGTCAAGACACAGAAAGGGAGAACATAACTTGATGATTACAACCCAAGAAAAAATTCAAAACCTATGACCAGTCAGTAATGTCTGCAGCATGAGGTTGTTTATGTTTTATTTTTCTTTAAGT